GGCCCCCCGCCCCACCACACCATGGCCCCCCGAGACCGCTCAGCGCCGGGGAGCGGCCAGCACACGGAAAGAGCCTAAAAACCCAAGGATGGGGGATCGCGGGTAATAAGTTAATCTGTACAGACGTGTTAGGTGGACACGGGGATGGCAGGGACCGCCGCCACCCAGCTGTCCCTCCCGAGCGCAGGGGTGTCCCCCTGGGGCGCCAGGGGCCGATGAACCACATGCTGGTGCAAATCAAACCACGAAATGATGCACGAAGTCAAGTGACGGAGAACAGCAGGGAGATGGGGAGGTGCCCTGGCTCGCACCGACCCCGGCCGTGGTTTTATGGAGCAGGGGGAGGGAGGGGACTCCTCCACGCCGAGGGGTTGCGCTGGGGTGAGCTGAGGGGGTCCTCGCTTGGATGGGAGACCCCAGGGCCGGCCTCCCGCTTCCAGGGCAGCGCTGTGAGCCTGGGGACCTGGAGGCTGGCTGCCACTAGGTCCTGCCATCAGCTGCAGCCCCGCGGGCTGAGCCGCTCCCAGCATCGGGCAGGGATGCTGAGCCCAGAACGGAGGCGTCCGGCAGCTCCCACCTCCTGCCCGAGCTCGGATGTGCCGCAGCAGCACGAGGCAGGGAAATCACCTCATTCCCTGCTCGGTCCCACCAGCAACCCGTCGGCATCGGGGCCAGCCACCCCAAAGGCGTCACGGAGCAGGGAGGGGAAGGAGCCACCCCAGGGCCCCTCTGCAGCTCCGGGAAGGGGCCGGCTGGGTCCTCGCGTGGGCATGGAGGGAGCGAGATCCGCTCCTCTCTCCGGCTGCCAACGCCAAATCCATTCGCCACGTTTCGGCTCCCCAAGGCAATCGGCTCCGGCCGGCGGAAGGGAGTTCCCAGGGCCGGAGACGGCGCCTTGGAGGCTCAGCCCAAGGTGGGAGGCCGGGGATGTGCCGAGCCAAAGCCCAGAACGCTGCAGACACTCTCCATCCCCCACCGCAGCCGGCTCCCTCCTGCCCAGCGCTGGACCCATGCCCGGAGGGCTGCGGGGCCCTGGGGGCTCCGGTCGGGAGGAGATGGACCGCCCCACTATGAGGATGGTCTCCCCCCGGCCTCCCCACTCTGGCAGCTCCTCTCTCGGCTCCCAAGAGCTGGAAACCAGGATCCCAGCAAGCAGCACATCTACGGAGGAGGCAAAGCCGCTGCCCAGCTCCCGGCAGCCTCCTCCGCAGCGCCCGTCCCTGGGGAGGAGAGTGGGACCGAGCCAGATCATACCCCTGGTCCCCTCCATGCCAGAGCCAGAGGTGTCCGTCCAGGAGCCGGGGACACGGGGCAGCTGGAGGGGCAGCGGAGAGGGACTGGGGACAATGCGGTGGGGACGGTGACAGGGTGGTGGCGTGGAGGTGACAGGAAGGGGTGGGAGCGCTACAGGACGGTCTTGTCCAGGTCGACCTTGAGGGGCAGCGGCCCCGCGTCCTCGCCGCCGTGTGCAGGGCACAGGGTGACGGCGATGACGGGAGGCAGGGGGAAGGCGCCGGGGCCGTCCAGGTCCTCCAGGTACTCCTTGTCCCCGTTGATGCTGAGAGTCTGGAAGAGAGGCAGAGGGGACCGTCCAGCCCCGAAGCAAGGGACAGGACCCCCTTGTCCCCAGACCCAGAACACCGTGTGACGTACCACACAGGCTGGCAAGCCCAGCACAATGGCCGAGGACCATACGGCCACATCTCAGCCCCTCAAGGCTCACCCAGCCCTGACGGGGAGACCCAGGGTGTCGGCGACCCCCACAGGACCCCCCCTGGGCTGTGCTGAGCACCGCTCACCCCGTACCTGGGTCTTGACGTGCTGCTCGGGGGCAGTCACCAAACTGGCACAGCTCAGCCACAGCATCACCATGATGGAGAGGAAGAGGCAGGCAGCCAGGATCCAGCGAGGAAGGCCCGAGCGCCTGTAACACCCCACCACCCCCCGGCAAAGAGAAAGGACGAGTTTATGGCAGGGCACAGGGTGGGAATT